CGGAGGGCTCAGCAAGAAGGCACTCGGTGTCCGTCCGACGGGCGTGATTGTCATTTGGGACACCAAGATCTGAAACTAAGATCTGTGCGCGATCCGAAAGGCTGACAAAGGCGGTGAATATTTCTATCCAAAGCAAAAGCATGTGCATCCACCTACACCTGCTGGCAGAAATACAAAACTCAATTTCGGACTAACTGTAGAACTCACAGCGAACAGCGAACTAACGTGCAGCAACCAAGCACAGCTTTTTTTCAGGCGCATCGACCATTGCATTTATGCACGCCCGCGCAGATCGCAGCATTCCAGGTAGCATACCAGCTACGAGCAAAAACGCGCTGCCCGCAGGAGAGACAGTCCGGATGGCTCACAAAGCAGCCATCGCTGCGTCTTTCCAGCTGCTGGCATGCGCCCAGTGTGAGCTCGATGAAGTCACCTTTGGTGTCGGCGTTGCAATTCCGCAGAACAGTGTTGTGGGCCGGCACGAGCTCGTCGAAGACCAATGCCCACACTCGATCTCCTGGATCTCTGGTCCAGGAGATCCCTTCGTCATTGCTGACATAGCTCTCGACATTGCCGTAAGGGCAAGGTGAGCCGACGTCGTCTGTGGACGTGCGGATGCCCCCAAAGTACGAGAGCTTCTTCCTCTCCTTCCTGTCGTGCCTCTCCAAAAGAGAAGACCACAAAGCAGCCAGGTCTAGATGCTCCCAAATGGTTTCGACATCACGGAGGCTGTCGGGAAGGTCATACCAGGACTGGCTCCGGCCCACTGCAAAAAGGTTTCATAGAGAGCTGGTGTCAAATAGCTTGTCATGCTCGAGAGAAAATATCCAAAAAAAGAATCGCTTGATGATGTAAGCTGCGGCACATTGAATGCATTGCAATCCAAAAAGGTCACGGATGTGGAGAAATGTGAAATACCTGATGAAGAATACAAAAAATGGATTTTTAGGACAACCTGTCACAGTGCAGACATGGGCGTACTCTACATCTGCAAGTTCCATTGCATTTCATCCAACAATTTTACTCAACAATTTTATTCAAGACTGTCTAACCTAATCTGCTTGTTATCTTTGCTGCACATCCTTGCTGCACATAGACTCGCTATTCT